AGCGGGCGACAGCTGCTACCGTCCTCCGAGGCGTTTTCGCCTGCACCGCCGCGCGAACAGCCGCCTCGACGAGGCAAGCAGCATCGAGCGCGGCCCGAGCCCCTCTAGGCCAGACATGTCGCTCGCGGGACGCGTCAAGGCCATGCAGTCGCTTGAGCCAAAATGAGAAGATGAGGAGGAGGAGGAGGAGGAGGAGGAGGAGGAGGAGGAGGAGAGGCAGCGGAGTAGTGGGAGGAGGAGGAGGAGGAGGAGGAGGAGGGAGGAGGAGGAGGAGGAGGAGGAGGAGGAGGGGAGGAGAGGAGGAGGAGGAGGGGAGGAGGAGGAGGAGGAGGAGGAGGACGAGGAGGACGAGGAGGAGGAGGCGGAGAGGCAGCGGAGTAGTGGGAGGAGGAGGAGGAGGAGGAGGAGGAGGAGGAGGAGGAGGAGGAGGACAATCGCCACATGCGAGGACTCACCCCCCCGCGCTCGGTGGGGGGGACGCCGGCCCCCCGCGGGCGGCGACCAGCGCGGCGCCCGGCCTGGCGATGGCGGCCGCGGTGGAGCTGCGAGGGCTGCCCGGACGCGTGGCGGCCCAGCACGCGCCGCGCGGCAGGCACAGCCGTGCGGGGGCCCGCGGTGGCCCGGCGGGGCCGCCATGCACAGGCACCGGAAGGACAGCACTTTGAACAGGATTCGCTGTCCGCGCCGCCGCGGCCTGTGTCCATTTGAGACAGGAGGCCGCCCGCCCGACAGCGGCCGCTGTTGGTTTGGGGCAACTTTTGTTGTGGGGCATTGCACCCAATTCTTTCCGTGCCCACTTCGGGCGTCCAAGGTCTCAGCCGAGACCGGCATCGACCACTTGTACGGCGGCAGCCAGCACCACTGCGGCGACCACAGCTACAACGACGAGGACGCCGAGTGCCTGACAATGCCGTCGTTCCTCCTGGCTGTGCCTCCGCCTCCTCCTGGACTGCGGCCTGCTGCTGTGCAGCGGCCTCCTGCTGGACGCATTGGGGGCTCCTGCTGGACCACGTGGATTTGGCGCGCGGTCGCCAAATCCATGGATCGGGCGAGGTGCACTCCACAAAATGCGGCCGGTGCCGCCTCGATCGGCGGCGGAGATCCGCAATTTCCCATGGAAACGGGACCCCTCGCTAATCCACGCCCCCTAAATCCATGTTTGCGATCGCCTGATCTTGGGCGCTCCGACCTGGAGCATCAGCCCTAAATAAACCGTCAAGATGGGAATCACCCCTCGGGATTCCCTCAGTGGCCCGCCTCACCTGGCCCTTCGGGCCATGTCACCGAGGGCCCCACCCCCGTCGCCACTGCTGCACAGCCTCGTCCACGCCACCAGGAGGTAAACGTCCAGGCCAAGGAAAAGGAGACTGTGGAGAAGGATGTCGACGTCGCCGCGGAGGAGATCGGCGTCGCAAAGGACGAGATCGTCGCCGACACCAACTATGTACAAGGAGGGCATCCACCCTCCCGTCGTCAAGCTTACTGACGAGGCCACGCAGCCGCAGAAGATCACGCAGGCTGAGGACGACCCCAGGTACAGCCATTGGCAGGAAGGCCGAGGAGTCATCCACATCAGGATCTGAGCCCAACACCAACATCGACATGTCGGGCGTCCATTCCACCTTCCGTCTCTTTGGCAAGTTCCAGGTGGTCCGATCTTCGCGACATGCACGCGTCGTGAAACACAGATCGCGACGAGCACGCCAGACAGGTTACGGCTCGCATCAACGGTCTGCCACACGGAGCCTGCCCGTTCACCACTACAGTGCGGGCGCGGCCGCAAGAAACCCTCGCAAGAAACCCAACCCTGCCAACCCGTGCGCGAGGTGCACCCGAGGCGGGAACACCCGGAGGCACCCTGAACGCAGCAGCTCCTTCAGCGGCTGCGGGAAGCCACCGCGTAGCGCGAGGAGCGAAGAAACCCAGGATAACCCGACGAAAAGCATATGGTTTCTCGATGCGAGCTCCCACTGTACGCTCTCGACCACCAGCACGTCTCCGACCGCCAGCACGTCGACCACCAGTGCTCTACGGGCGCGGGCGCCCTGGAGCGCGACTTCTCCCCGCCGCCGCCGCCCCCCCTGCGGCTGAGCGCGCCGCCATCCCACTAGGGGGGAGGAGACCCGGCGGCCCTCGGGGGGGGGGAGCTGGGCCCGCCGCGGCCTGCGCCTGCAGCGCCCCTGGGGGGAGGGGGCGGGGGGAGGAGTAGGGAGGGGGAGGAAGGGGAGGAGGAGGAGGAGGAGGAGGAGGAGGAGGAGGAGGAGGAGGAGGAGGAGGAGGAAGAGGGGAGCCGGAGGAGGAGGAGGAGGAGGAGGAGGAGCGACACCCGCGGCCCGCGCTGCGAGGACCACGGCCCTCCGTCGCGTCCCTATGGTTCCTCCCTGGCTCGCTCGGTCCCTCGGTTCGCCTCCCTTGTTGGTCCCCCTTCGCGTCGTCTCCTTCTCGTCCCGCTCGCCAGCCCCACCAACGGCCGCGCATGCCGTTTTTCAGAATGTCCCCCCTCGCACACCAGACGGTGAGGCGGGGGTGCCTTGGCAGCGATCGCGGATCTCTTTTGCCTTCAGCAATTAGAAACCAGGAGGCTGATAAGGAGAAGAGGGAGGCAGAGGAGGAGGAAGAGAGGCAGTGGAGGAGAAGGACAAGAAGAGAAGAAGGATGACGAAAAGGAGAGACAGTGGAGGAGGAGCAGGAGGAGGAGGAGGAAGAGGAGGAGGAGGAGGAGGAGGAGGAGGAGCAGGAGGAGGAGGAGGAAGAGAGGCAGTGGAGGAGAAGGACAAGAAGAGAAGGAGGATGACGAAAAGGAGAGACAGTGGAGGAGGAGCAGGAGGAGGAGGAGGAGGAAGAGGAGGAGGAGCAGGAGGAGGAGGAGGAGGAGGAGGAGGAAGAGGAGGAGGACGAGGAGGGCGAGGACGAGGAGAAGGAGAAGAATGAGGAGGACGAGCAGGAGAAGGAGGAGGAGAAGGAGGAGGATGACACGCCCGCAGAAGGCGGGAAACTGCTACGAGTTCAAACAGAAGCAGGCCACATTCAGTGCCTAGATGTCGAATATGATCATGGTGCCATGGTGTCTCAAAACTTGGAATGCTAATATGCTCAACTATGCTGTCGTTCAGTGGTACGAGTCCCATCGCAAAACCCTTCCTCGTTCTAGCCTCGCGCCCGTCCAAGATGTGCCTCTTATCGTGCTTCTTGATGTGCGAATCCTATCACACCGTCTGTCGTTCACCCACTGGGCCTTCTGGCCATCCACTGCACTCGCTGGCCATGACCTGTGGGTGTCGCTGCAAATGTGAACGCCGTCGCAAGTACGCTATAGCACGAGAGTGGGACCATCGTCTGCTTGAATGTTGGAGGCCTGGAAATGGGCACCAACACCAACAAAGGGGGTTGCCTCCACAAGGGGAAGATGATCCTCGATTGCGGCGTTGGTGGTAATATTTCGGTCACCTTGAAGCCAGAATATTACCACCATCACCCAGATCGGGACCTTTTTCCCCTCGGTGGAGGCACACCGCCGATATTGGTGTCGGTGTCAACCTCTAGGCCTGCGAGGAGGGCCCTTCAGAGCCCAAGCTCGGCGGAGGCGGTATGCCTGCCCCGCCTCTTCGGGGCGCCTGGGCAGCCGAAGCATCCAGCACACAAATAAATACACACAAATAAACATATGCCCCATATTTTCCCATATCTTCGAGGTTTTTGCCTCCCCTCCCACTTCCCATATTTTCCCATATTTCCTCGGGAATCGACGATTAATTGTGTCTGTGTGTTTGTTCCCCTCCTGAAGTATGCCTGCCTCGCTTCTTCGGGGCGCCTGGGCAGCCGAAGCATCCAGCAGCGGAAGCGGAATCGAGCCTTGCCGAGCTTCCCGGCCACCGCTTCCCCCGGCGTGGCGGCCAGGCGGCAGCCCCGTCTGCAGCAGGCTGGCGCAGGCGCATCCGTTGCGCATCCGATCCACGCGGCTGCACTCCAAGAGGCCGGTGGGCGGCCTGCGCCGTCTGTGGCGCTGCAGGCACCGGCACGCACGGTCCCTGCACTGCCGTCGCCGTGCGCTGGCAGGCCCGGCTCCGACACCCCGGGGAGCGCGTGCGTCGGCAAACTTGGCACGGGGGGCGTGATCCTGCAATCGCTCGGGCGTCCATTCCCCGTGCATTTGCACGCCTACTTTTCGCGAGCTGATCCGGGATGCTCCTCGATGCTCCTCGCCGAGCAAAAATGCGCACGTCCGAGCGATGCCAAGTGATCGGGTGAACAAGCACTGGCTCACGCTCAATCAGCAGTGGCGAACTCGAGATTTGGATCGCGCAGGGGAAGTTGCCCCCGCCAGCAGTGCTTCAGTGCAGCGCGGGAGGAGCGCTCGACCCCGCACTCCGCCGCGCTCGGCGAGGTGTCCTGCTAGGCAGCGGCACGCGAGAGATGGCGTGAGATTATCTCTCTCTCTCTCTCTTTCTCTCTCGTGCTCGACGCGGGCCCTGTGGCCGAGATCAAACTTGCCCGCAGCGCTGCGTCCAGAAGGAGGAGGAGGAGGACGACGAGGAGGACGACGAAGGCTCGCCAATCGCTCGGACGTCCGTTCCGCGTGCATGTTTCGGTCTCGTGCGTGCCTTTTCAGGCCAGATGATCCAGGATGCTGTTCGATGGTCCTCACCGAGCAGACATGCAAGCGTCCGAGCGATGCCAAGAGGAGGACGGGAAGGAGAGGCAGTGGAGGAGCAGGAGGAGGAGGAAGAGGAGCAGGAGGAGGAGGAGGAGGAGGAGGGCAGAAGAGGAGGATGGCAGAAGAGGAGGATGGCAGAAGAGGAGGATGGCAGAGGAGGAGGAGGAGGAGGAGGGAGAGGAAGGAGGAGGAGGAGGAGGAGGACGGGGGAGGAGGAGGAGGAGGAGGGAGGAGGGAGGAGGAGGAGGAGGAGGAGGGGTCGAGGAGAAAGGCGAGGAGGACGGGGCAGAGGAGGAGGCCGGGGCAGAGGCGCTGGAGGCGGAGGAGGCTGCCCCGCCCGGGGCTCCTGCACCTCCACGCGCGGCACCTCGAGGCGGGGGGGTGATCGCGCGCAGGCGGGGCGGGGGGGGGCGAAGGGGGCGCCCCCTGTCCTCCTCGACCCCCCTCCTCGTCCTCCTCGTCCTCCTCGTCCTCCTCGTCCTCCTCGACCCCCCTCCTCGTCCTCCTCGCCCTCCTCGACCCCCCTCCTCGTCCTCCTCGTCCTCCTCGACGCCCCTCCTTCAGCTTCTCCACCCGGAGGGGGGGAGGAGGGAGCAGCAGCGGCAGGGACCGAGGGAGGGCAAGATTTCAAGTTGGTCTCTCGCCCCAGCGACGCGCGTGTTCGCCCCGAGAGCCTGCAACAGGTACAAGAATGGATGGGAGGTCGCTGTCGAAATCGGTTCTCGCCTTAACGCCGCGCACCTTCACCATGAAAGCAAGAAGGATTTGTCGATGGCGCTCTCGCCTTAGCGCCGCGCACACTCGTCCTAAAAATGTGCAGCGGCTGCAAGGATGGAGGACGGTTTCTTTTCGGAATGGGGCTCTGGCCTGGGACTTCTGGAGACTAAAGACCACAGGATTGAGCACATGCAGCAGCTGCACGGTGGAGGGCAGTTGCTTTCCAACATGGGGATCTCGTTTGAGAGTTTCTCGCATGTCACTCTCCAACGCGTAAGATTGCGTAACATTATCAAAGATGGGGGGCTTTCCCCAAGCCTGGAATATCGCTGGGACGCTGGGACCCTCGTTGAATTGTGCGATCATACCTTGTCGCATCCCTCCAAACACGCTAGATGGATGCAAGGTAATTCCATTCCACCCCGAGACTATCGCCTGAAAGACAAGCTCATTCAGCGCTGGTCTTTCAAGGGGGAACTTCTGATTGTGAAAAGAAAGACTTGTAGGGACTTCTGAGGAGACTTGGGGTCAAAAGGGTGTATCGCTGCTTCGCTGGTGCATCGTAAGTTTACCCTGGTCCTCGTCTAATACTACTACTACTACTACTACTACTACTACTACTACTACTACTACTACTACTACTACTACTACTACTCCTACTACTCCCCATCATCCTCCCCACTCCTCCTCCTCCTCCTCCCCCTCCTCCTCACGCTCCTCTCCCTCCTCCTCTCATGTCATCTCATCATCATTTCACCACCACCACATCATCATCATCTCATCATATCAATCAGGATCACCTCAGCCTCAGAATTCATCAGCTTAATCATATCTCATCATCTGCATTTCAGTCGGCATTATCATCATAATCATATCCGCCACTGTTCTAGCAGAAGCTAGCACCAGCATAATCAACATCATCATCATCATTATCATCAGCAATCGCATTCATCATCAGCCATCATCATCTTCAGCAGCGATCTACTTTCATCATCCTCCTATCATATTATCATTCATCTTTCAATCCTCCTCCTCCTCCTCCTCCTTTCCCCCCTCCTCCTCCTCCTCCTCCTCCTCCTCCTCCCTCCTCCTCATCCTCCTCCTCCTCCTCCTCCTCCTCCTTCTCCTCCTCCTCCTCCTCCTCCTCCTCCTCCTCCTCCTCCTCCTCCTCCTCCTCCTCCTCCTCCCCACTCCTCCCCCACCACCCCACCATCCCTCCACATGCCCCCCGCCCCCTCTCGTCCCAGAGCGCGGCTGTGCTGGGCAGGAGGCCTCCACGACGCGCTCCTGGTAATGCACCTCGCCGCCGAGTGTCCGCGGGTGAGAGGCGGGTGAAGGGGGAGGGAGGGGGAAGGGCAAGGCGGGGAACTCTGAACTCAGAGCTCGATGATCTGCACAAGAGCTCATCTCGGCGGCGAGCGAGGGGGGGAAGTGACAAGGAAGAGGCCTCATCAGAAGGCTGCGGGGCGTGTCAGAAGCCCTCCGGCCTTCTGAGAAATTGTCTGTGCCTTCGGGGAAGGCTTAGACAAATTCTCAGAAGGCCGGGGAGACTTCCGAGCCTTCTGAGAAGGCCCGCCCCCTCTCACTTCCCCCCCGAGCTCGCCACGATCATCAGGAAGCTACTGATGGGGCTGTGCAAATACGCAACGCCGCTTGCAGACCAGGGGGAGGGGCCAAGGGGGATGAGGAGTAGGAGGACTTATGTAACCCACTGAAAGATAGGGCGCCTAGACCCAGGGAGATGTTCCATGATTTTGCCTGCTGATCTTCTCGCACAGTGTGGGCGAAGGGGAGGAGGGGGAGGGAAGAGGGGGAGTGCGTCTGATAACGGAACTTTCACCGCAAGCGATCCCATGTTGAGAAGCCGGTCTACCTCGTGGCAGCGATTCCGTAAATACGCCCATGTCCTTTCTTCTTGTAACATTGCGCTAGCGAATGCCAAATGCCTCTCTCGCTACGCTGTGCTCTGCGTCGGCTGCGACCTGAGGCACCTCCACGATCCTCTCCTGGTACTGCATGTGCACCTTGGGCACCTCCTTGATGATCTCGGGCGAAGCAAAACTTTGCTGCAGAAAGTTATGCAAACAAACAACTGTTGCTGGCCCACATCAAAGATACGACTTGATGCTGTCGAGAGACAAGATCATCTCCACCCCTCCTCCTCCTCCTCCTGCTCCTCCTCCTGCTCCTCCTCTTCCTCCTCCTCCTGGGGTGGGTCCTGGCTGTAAATTCTCCGCAGATCAAACCATGGCCACCAGGGCGTCCCGGGGCGCCCTGGGATTCCCCCAAAAAATCCCACTCACAAACAACAAAAAGCAACGATCCACGATCCTCACAGCCTGGACCCTCCACCTCCGCATGCCACCTCCCCTTCTCAGATTGGAATCGACCTCAAAATCGGCCCTCAGACCCCTCCTTGGGTAAGTTCTGGTCGGGAGACCAAAAGAGGCCACAAGGGAAACTCGAAACCTGCAAACAACCACTTGGAGCCGCGATACTCGAACCTCAATCCTGAAGCACTCGACAAGATCCTCGCTCTGCTTCCCCCGCGCGCGCAGGAACGCGCTAGCAGAAGGAGGAGGAGGCGGAGGAGGAGGAAGGAGAGAGGGAGGGGGGAGGAGGATGGAGATAAGGAGAGGGGGGAGGAGGGGGAGGAGAGGCGAGAAGGCAGAGGCGGGAGGAGGATTTGGAGGAAAGGATTCTCCGAGGTCACGTATTGCGCACGCGTTGGAACCAGATGTCCATGAAGTATCGCATACCATTTATCAGTGGTCTCCGCCAGGAAGAATACTTAGCCTGGTACATGACATACCTGGTCAAGGAAGAACCCTCCTACTCCCCAGTCAGCCCTCGGAGGTAGTGGGACGCCTAACAATGCCGAAAACGTCCAAACACTTCCATGCTCGATCATTGATCCTCCTCCCCCTCATGCTGCTCCCCCTCCTCCTCCAGGATCATCCACGATCCGAGAGGAAGAGCCCTCCTCTTGGGAGTGGGCGACACGGTGGATGTCTAAAACCGCAGGTCAATACGATCCGCAGCAGCAGCAGCAGCGCAGGGAGAGAGAGAGAGAGAGAGAGAATAAAAAAAACGGGCAACTGACAAAAAGCTACCACAGACGGTGCGAACGAGGATCACACACTCCGGGCCCTCCTCGCCCACCCGTTCCGCCCTCGGCCCTCGGCGCAGAGCCTCCGCGCAGGTCCGCCCGCCGCAGCCTCGTGTGTGCCTCCTTGGGAGAGCTCCGACAAAGACACTACCTCCTCCTCCTCCTCCTCCTCCTTCCTCCTCCTCCTCCTTCCCCTCGTCCTCATCATCATCTCATCATCATCATCATCATCATCATCATCATCATCATCATCATCACCACCACCATCATCATCATCATCATCATCATCATCATCATCACCACCATCATCATCATCAGCAGCAGCAGCAGCATCATCATCATCATCAGCATCATCATCATCAGCATCCTCAGCGTCATATCACCAGCATCAGCATCAGCATCATCATCATCATCATCATCATCATCATCATCATCATCATCAGCATCATCATCATTATTATCATCCTCCCCATCCCCATCCTCGTCCTCATCCTCATCCTCATCCTCCTCCTCCTCCTCTCCTCCTCCTCCTCTTCCTGCTCCTCCTCCTCCTCCTCCTCCCCGACCAGCCCTGGCCAGGCCCATCCTGGGCCCTGGACTTAGAAAGCAGAAAAAAACCATAATGAGCACCCCGACACGCAAAGCCGTCTAGTAAACGCACGCACGGCAGGCATCGAACAGGGCAGGGCTGTTCAGTGAAGGCCCAAGGCCCTACAGTCAACGCCAGTGAGAGGGTGTCGGGGTGCTTTGTCCTCCTGCGAGGACTGGTGTGCAGGCCTTCCTGGCACAAGCCTGGAGGTCTGCACGCCAGTCCAGGGCCCGGGATGGGCCTGGCCAGGGCTGGTGGCGGTGTCTTGTTGGCGCGCCTCCGACTCCTCGACCGCCCCTCCCTCGGCCGGCGGGGTGGTCCTTCGGCCCTCCGCCCTCGCCCGTGCCCCGTCCGCTCGCCTGCGATCCCCGCCCCCCAGCCCCCTGCCATCGCTCGGACGTCCACTCCGCGTACGCGTTTCGGTTTCGCGCGCGCACGTTGGCACAAGAGGATCCAGGATGCGCCTCGATGGCCCGCGCCGATCAGAACATGCACGCGTCCAAGCGATGCCAGGCCCTCTTGTCGGGGAGACGCAAGACTCGGGTTCGGGGAAGTTGGGTTGGTCTGAAGGGGCCATCATGAAAATGAACAGACCCAATCTGAAATTGACGCGCGCTCCCGCTGCAGACATCCAACGAGAACTGGACCGTCCGAGTCCAGGACGCGTTCGTCAAAAAGCGTCGGCAAACCCGACTCCCGGCGTACTCGAATCTTACGTTTCCCCAGTCTTTGGACGCCCAAAGTGGGTACGGAAAAGTGGCCACGACGCCCAACAGCAAATGTTGCCCAAGACCGACGGCGGCCGCTGCTGGGCAGGCGGCCCTCTGTCTCAAGAGGGCCACGTCCGCGGCGACACCGGCAGCGAGTCCTGTTCCAAATGACCCTGTTCAAACTGAACCGGAAATGCTGTCGGCCTTCGTACCCCCTCTTT